GGCGAGACGCTTGTCTGAGCCAGTTTACACGCCGTATACCACGGATATTCAGGACAGTATGAAACTTAACTAACTTATATCGCAGATACCATGCCTGTCTGCCGTTTTTGTGGTCTGTGCCAAGAAGAGAGCGACCTCCGTCGTGTAAAGGCTAAAGACACATTGCTACTCTTGTTGTGTATCATGGTGGAGAAGGAAGAACTGAGTTTGTCGGATGCGCACGGGGTTTATAATGAATGCGTGCGTTTACGCAAACGCATCTGTAAACGTCATTATAGTGAAGCGGTAAGCCCTAGGGAGGCGTACAGGTTGACAGTAGTACAGCTACATCCAAACTGTTGGCTTATGCTTGCTCTTATACAACCTATTCATGTCAAACCAGACCCAAGCTTTTCAATTGTCTTTTCAGGAAAAACCGGAATATCGGACAAATGCACAACCAATAGGCTCCCCAGATTATGTATAGATTGGAATTTTTAGGCAGAGACAGCAAGTGCGACACATCCGTATCTGTAAAACTGAAAAATTTGAGCCCACCACACAAAATCTAACCTATAAACTCTGGCGAACCAGTGCATTCAGTGCATTCACTCGCTCATCGGATCTTACTCACTAGGTTATCAGATCTGACACGTCAGAACGTGATTTTCATGCTACACGGCGCCAGTTTACACAGTGCCGTGACTGCCGTGGCATTTGCCGTGCATGCCACGCAATCTGTTCCAAGGGCCTTTTTGGCTCCGCCCCCGTGTCCAGCTGGCCAGCTGGAAGAACATTTTCAGAGGTTTATTACTCTTCACCAACTGAACTTTCAGACTCGGAACTTTGCACATGGCCTCTAGTAGGGAATTGTAGCACACCCACAGAGGGTAGAAGAAAAGTCGGTTTTCCGTGAGCGATTCCTTTAACTGAGAGGCAGTTGTTGCACAATGTCCGGCATGGGTTCCGTCGCTACAGGTCCTTTCTTCGAGTACTGCTCTCCCATCTGGTCGCCTTGTAAACGACCACAATTGATGAAATTGAAAGAGTGCAAAAGAGAGTATGGTCTTTTATCGGAAAGGTATCACACACTATCTTATGACGACGTCTCCACAGACTTGCCGCAGAGTCGCTGGAGTTCCGACGAAAGCTGCATGATCTTGGGCTGCTGTACAAGTTAACAACTGGGGAAATAAGTGTTAAGTTGGATGATCTTTTTGAAATGTCTTCCACTATAGGTTTAGCAAGGGTCACCCCTACCGTGTGCGCCCGTATAAGGCCAAAACGTCGTCCTTCCAAGGTTCGTTTCTTGTAAGAGTCGTTAGTCTTTGGAACAGCTTAGACTGTGAATGTTTCAGGTGGAAGCGAGCTTCGTCCTTCCAGGAACACATAAGGCCCATTCTTAAGCGTAGCCCGGCTGACGCCCAGATTACATGACCTCGTTTTCTGTGAACTTGAATATTCCTTTTTTGGATGTGCGAATTAGGCTAACATTGTCTACTTGTGATCTCGCTTGAGCTCGTTGAGACAAAAAACAAGACATAGTTTATTGTGTTAATGTTCAAGTTAGGTTTGGGTTTTTTTCATTTGGTGTTTGGCTACGCCCTTCCGAGCTACCTATCATCTGCCACTCCCGGACGCGCCCACACTCCCTCCTTCCCTCCTCACCCTTCCTTTGCCCCCCCCCCTTTTCTCCCCATCCCATTGTCTAATGGTTATAGGGATATTAGTTCGCAATATGTTTCTATTCCTTCGATTGGCATTGTTTGTACCGATAATAAATCAAATCAAACTATTCGGGTATGATCCTGTCGGGACCGTGTGCCGTAGGACTTTTCATACCGAGGTGGCGCGCCAGACTTCAAAAGGGAGAACTGAAGGAACGGTAGCAGGTGATCATGGCTGTAGAAGAGATTAGGGTGGAAGTCGTGGATGGATGACTTTCTCCTCTGCCCTCCGAGATGCAGTGTTTGTTCCATCAGACGTCCTGTCATCTTGCTGTTGCAGTTGGCGGCGTCGCCGCGTTGCGGATGCTCTTCCAGCCTTTGCTGCTTCCACCAGCGCTGCTCTCTTGATAGCATCGCAAGCTCGGACGTTAGCTGGTAGCTGCGAGCCCTTGTGCGGCTCTATGTTGGCGAATCAGTTCGTCAGTTTCCAGAAAATGACGCTTTCTGGTGACCTTGGGACACACTGACTTCTTGGCGCAGTCGTGTTTGACGAGCCGCTTGTATTTCTCGTCGATGTTGTGGGTGAAGGAAATCTTTCAGAACTCAACGAGGGAAGGGAACTGCTCTCATTACATTCTTGGGACTTCGCTTATCGAACTTTGCGACCCTCTCTTTCCGCATCAAAAAGTGAAATTCCGCGCGAAAGAAACGATGGTCCGATTTTGTTCAGGATTTGGGAATGACAGCGACGTCTGCTTGGCAGAACCTTCGATTGCAGATGATGTGGTCGATCTCGTTATGGAATTGTCCACCAGGAGACTCCCATGTCCAGCGTAGAGAGTAGGGCTTCTGGAACTGCGAGTTACCATGGATGGTATGGGTCGACATGATAAACTCAGACAGCCTTTCACCCTGCTCATTCCACTCCGTTCCGTGAGTTCCGATGTGAAGTTCTTCAGCCGTTCTTCTTGGTCCGATCTTAGCGTTGAAATCACCGACGATGACCTTGAAGAAGGTATGTCTTGATTGCTTCTCCAATTCTATAGAATGCTTGGGGCTTATCCTCGTCGTAGCTTGATGTTGGTGCGTAGGCGACGAAGATTGTCAAAGCTGGAGTTGAACCACATCTTCTCAGTCGCAAACGTCCGATTCGGGTCGTCAGATTTTCGTACGAATCGATGTTCATGGCCAAGTGCGTGTTGACGAGGACGCCCACACCGCCAACGCCTCTGCTGTCGCATGTTCCGAGGAACAGTTCTTCTCCAGTCTCGTATACGGCGTGTAGCGGGCGATGCCTCCTCGTCTCGGTCAGTCCGATGACGTCGTACTTGATCTTCCTGGCTTGCAACATCAGATCTTCGATGTGAGCTTCCGATGCAAGCGTCCGTGCGTTAAAAGTATACTCGAAATCCCTGAGATCGGGTAGGCGGAGCATTCGAACACTGTAAGGAACTGGTTACTAGTGGAATATTCCAGTCTGGGACAACTGTCATCTTGTTCTGTGTTGGACAGAGACACGACAACGATTGTGTCGAGATGAAAATATCGCATCAGAAGCGTAGACGCCTTAAGGGTAAGTTGAAACATGCGGCCACGCCTACCCGATCTCAGGGATCTCGAGTGTACATATCGTCATCCTAGTCCTGGGCGGTTGGCCTGTGATTCTTGCAGCCTCCCGAGCGGTCCCAGCCGACGTCGCCCTGTCGGTGGTTCCCTCAGGTTCAGGGGAATGAGGCCCATAATTGTTACTTTTCGGCGAGAAAAATTTGACCACGCGTAGCTCGCCAGGCTCTGACGTGGATCCTCCGCATTGGTACGTAGTAGTGCAAGATATTGTAACCTTAAGATTTTAGGACCACCAGCAGATGTTCGCCATTTTGCGTTTTGAAAAAATTTTTTGCTTTGAGCTTCATAACCTGAAGGGTTCCTTGAGTTACGACTCATTCGCACAAAATGATGAACAACACATGCCCCAGCCACTATTCGAGTGGTACGCAAGAGCGGGCCCTCATTACCTGGAGTATTCTGGTGTTGAAATTATTCCTCAAACTGTCAAAAAGTACCAACAGGATGAGGTGCGTCTTTTCAATTCTTGTGTGTCATTCACTACAGCTCATTCGACGTACACGGTCTCATTCACCACGATCTCATTGTCAGTTACATTAATTTATTACGTTGTATCACTTGTTAAGACTCCCGTGTTGCAGACAGGGCACGTCTTTCTTGTGGAAATCATCACGGATGGGGAGAGGGGTCCTCATCATTGCGGACCGGTGAGGTGTGTCAGCCAGAAGGAGTGCGCACACTGTTGAAGCCGTTCTCAGCCTTTTTTGTTGCAACGCGTATGCGACAAAAAGTGGTAGAAAACGAGTAATACGAATACAGTAATGCACTTGCCGCTTCAAAAACTGGTGCAGAACGATTTTGCCAAACCGCACCAAAGCAGCCGCACTGCCACGCCCCACCGGTCCGCAATGATGAGGACTGTATGATTGCGAGAGAGGGGGGGGGGGGTGGTAAGCGCAGGACTCATTCAGAAAAGGAAGGAGCAGCAATAGTGAAATTTCGTAAAATAACTGAAGATTTATTCGAGGTTTTTGATGTAAAGAACACTCGAATAGACACCTGAAGACAGGGGCAAGTTGCAAGTTCAGAAGTAGGGAATATGGATGAATAAAAAAAACGTACTTCCGGAGTTTCTGGTCTATTTTGCAAAACACATAGCGAATAGCTCACTCTAGTGCAACATTCAAAAAGCGTTTCGAATGTTCGGGCGCGATCTCTCAACATGCGCGAACGTCTAAAATCCAAGTAACCTATTTGAAATCATCAACACTGCACATCCCGGCGAGGGAGTGAGCGTGGCTGCATACTTTACTTGAGCATGGCGCAGGATTTAATGAACAAAGCCATGGTTGTATCTGTTCTCAAAACTGCAGTATTGGGTCAGAAGAACAGCTGCCGGCCACGTTTAAATGAAGTACGCAGCCGCACACTCGTCATCAGCCGCAGACTCGATATCTGTGGGATATGGAGTGTATGTGTATTTCTCTGGCTTGCTGTCTTGCCCTTTCTCTTTGAGGGAGGGGGGGGGGAAGGAAGCTAAGACTCGCTTCAGGAGGGGGGGGGAATATCTAGCAGAATGTTATCGCAGCGCGATGACATGCCATGATTGCAGGTACGCGAACATGACAAAGCAACCTATGGAATAAGCCGTTTGGAAACTTGAACATGCGGCGGCACGGCAGAAACTTAGAAAATGTTACATCCAGGGCTTTTCTCACGCAGATCCGTGTAGTGCTACACAGTCAAGGATTCGAAATGTTTAAAAGTTACAACGAGTACCCGTCCTCCTCACTTATCATGGTGGTCAGCGATTAACAGCTGCGTCAGTGCAACGATCCATTGACGCCGTTTCTCTTGTAATTTCGTATCCGTTTGCAAAAATTTCTTCCGTGGTGGAGCAGCTATCGAAAGCTGTAGACTGCCATTAAGCTCAAATGAAACAACTTATTCGAGCAGAAAACACTTTCAATTGGGACTGAGAAGCACGACCAATTCACCTTGGAATACAGTTCCTCATAGTCACGAATCCTTTTGCGAAGTGGAGGACCCGAGTCAATTCGAATGATGAATATCTGAAATCAACAAACTACCATAATGAAGAAGGATTCAATGGTCGACGGTTTCTTTATGAACTCACAAGCGAGGTCGTTAAGGAACTGGAAATGGTTTGTTGCTTGATGTACAGGTCCATACATGCACCACGTAGATAAGTTTCATTTCTGCTGACAAGGGAAGGATGGTAGGTCGAAGTGGCCATTTGAAATGAAATGTATACCGGCTGAAAGGTCTTCGGACGGGAATTACGAAACCGTCTTCCATATCTGCTGCGGACCTCCCAGAAAGAAGTTACGGAGCTTTTTAGGGGGAGAATACACTACGAATTGGCGGCGTAAGGCTGCGAGATCGTGGCAGCATGGCCGAGTGGATACGTCGTAGGCTCACGGATGCGTGGTCGAGGGTTTGGATCCTTGATGCGTGTGCTCTTTTTTTTCGAAAGTGGTCCCTGTGCACTTCAAAGCTATTTTGCATAACACTTGTCCCTGATAATGTCGTGACGTAATGATTCTGAACTGATGGAGCCATTGCGAACGATTTCATGGAGATCACCTCCGGCTGAAAAGATTGTCATACGAGCCGAAAACTTCCAGCAGGTACGAAAACACTTTGAGATAGACATAATTCAACATTATGTGAGTGGTGAATGAAGCTCTTGCCCATCGCGATCTCCAGCAGCATGATTGTCACATCAACGCCACTTCATATGGAAGCATTTTCCCACTATACTCATCTTCGTGCACAACTTCGTGCGTTCGGATTCGTTTTCCAGTCATGTCGTTTGGAGAATAAAGTCATTTGAAGGCAAAATCTTCCTTTGGAATGCACTTTTGTTGTGTATGCTTTTCAAATCAAAGAAAGAAGAAGACAACAGCCAGAAGTGATCGCTATGCAATGGTTTGCTCCATCACTTCAGAATCATTACGTCACGACATTATCAGGGACAAGTGTTATGCAAAATAGTTTCGAAGTGCACAGGGACCACTTTCGAAAAAATGCAAAAGAGCACACGCATCAAGGATCCAAACCCTCGACCACGCATCCGTGAACTCTACGACGTATCCACTCGGCCATGCTGCCACGATCTCGCTGGCCTTACGCCGCCAATTTGTAGTGTATTTCTCCCTAAAAAGCTCCGTAACTTCTTTCTGGGAGGTCCGCAGCAGATATGGAAGACGGTTTCGTAATTCCCGTCCGAAGACCTTTCAGCCGGTATGCATCATTTCAAATGGCCACTTCGACCTACCATCATTCCCTTGTGAGCATTACTGGGAATGGCGAAAAAGAGTGAGAAGAAATTACTTAGGATGGGCGATGCGCGGTATCTTCTAACTACGCATGAACATGGAAAACAATGCAAAATAAGATTGAAATCCAAGTACTTTACCTGCTACGAGGAGAAGAAGTACTACAGTTTATACTATACAGGGGGGGGGGCAAAAAAAGACTTTTTCTTCCTCGACTTTCGAGGCGCTATAAGTTACACTTTATTAAATTATTATCGGACATTTCTACCACCATATTAAAGAGCATATCAAATACTATCATTTTACTCCGCCACAGCCTTCATCGAGAGATTCTGGCACGCAACCGCGATGTGGTCCCTGAGATCAGCGAGATGGTCGATTTCTCCGCCACCGTAGACCACCCTATTGAACTCCGCCCGAACCGGGTAATTGAGGGGTTTAGGTCAGGTGACCTGCTTAGATATTCCACCTTCTTCAGGTACTCAACGCCCTTCCATTACAAGTAGGCAAGAGTTTCTCCAACGCCCTTCGATTTCATGTGGTGGCACTCAATGCTGTAGCAGTACAAAGTTTCCAAGAAGGTACGGGCGACCACATGTGAGGAGGATATTCTTCACGAGTTGCCCAATGTAACCGCCAGCGCTCACCTTTAGTCCGGGGCCCACGAAGAAAATATCGGTCTCTCCATTCCAGGTACGTCCGGTCCCCACCATCAACTGGCGCCTTGGCGACTGAGGTGAAGATGATGTCCTAGACCGTAGCGACGTTGACGGAGCTGCTCGATGATGGAGGTTTTCCAGATCGAGAGTACTGCTCTCCAGGTAGCTATTTATGGGTGACTCCATACTAGAAGTTTCGCAGCTGTTCGGAGGTGACATGAATTCCAAAGGTCTTCTCCAGTCAGGCTGCGACTGGAGATGACTTCATATTTTGGTGTACATGGTGATGGGCGAGAGCCAGCTCCTGCTTATAGAGGAACATCTTGGGTATCTTCCGCCCTGGTACTCGTATCCACGTCCTCTGTCTGGGCTGCGAAAACTTTGCTGATATGTGACTCGGTCGAAATGTCTTTTTTTGGGCCCCCCTGTATATACCCGCATATTACCACTCACAGCGCGACGAATGGTGGTTGATAGCGCCATGGACTCCTGATGGGATGGTAGTCAGGGGGTCTCGTATTCCTTCGAGCCTAACAACGTGCATCACCCATGTGTATGCCATGTAAGGGTCCATTCTATACGCTCATGGTTCACGAAAGCGCCCTACTCGACTATTACGCTTCTATTAGAGGCTCTTTACGCTCGCAAAATACTGCTGCAGGAACTTCCCCCACCCCCCAAACATGGTCATACTATCATCTGATTCAGACTTTGCAGCATGAGCAACGCCTCAGTTGTCATCTGCACCAGTTTGCGTTGTCGTATACAAAAGCGCGAGCTACAGGAATTGCCAAGGTACCATGAGCGACGGCCAATAGATGCGCGATAGATGGGATAGGGATATGCTCGCGGCGTGCAGAGTGTTTGCGTCGCAGGTCGCTTTTAAGGGAGTATGGAATAATCAGCCTATCCCACCGTTCCCCGCTCATGTCTGGACGGGGAACCGCTAAGCTTCGACAGCTGGTCCGTAACAGGCGCCAAGGACGCGCCTCCTTGCGCCTCGCAGCTGAGCGTACGTTGTGTCTTCAAGCCTGTACTCCGTAGATCTTGTTGCCATTGCTGGCGGCGGCCGACCTTCAAAAGGCATCTCTTCAGTGCGTGGTATAAATTGCCTTGGGATTGTGCTGTTTTCAGGCCAGGTTTCGGTAGCGTAGCACACCTCCGGGATCGAATATTGAGGCTCTGAGGACAGGGTCCTCGATTCGCTTCGTTACTTCACGACGTAACAGAGCAAATTAAGGACTCTTTTCAGGAGTTGTGAGCATCCGATATCATTTGAATTGTGTTGAGCTCGACTTGGAAGTTAAGTGTTAGTTTGAAAAAAGTTTGATCTTTGAAAAAAGTAGGGACACGTACATAATGCACACCATTCACACCTGAAAAAGTAGAGAAAAACGAGTTCCCTTCCTCTCAGCAGGAAGGAACAAAGACTTTAATAAAAGCTTAGACGGTATTACTTGAGAAAGAATCAGGGTGCTCGTTTAGGTGCACTGGAGCTAACATGGCCATTTTTGCGCTATTTTTTAACACATCGCGGACGGCCGTACTGCGCGCCTTTGGATCATTTAATCATTTTCATCAGTAATTTCCTCCCTTTCTAATCGCTTACGAGGTAAGTATCTTCCGTAACCGAGATTGTATTTGACAACAGTGGAACATGAAAGGAGAGCAAAATTAATCCGAAAAGCAGCAAATTCATGGCACACCATGGGTGTCACGCGGTCCGGAACGTGTCAAAGACGTTCTGTGTACGAGAGTGCGATTTATGACTTTTGGTCCTGCACATGACCTACACGGTTGCGGAGATGTGAAAGTTCGGCAGTCAATTCTATTCAAATGGTCGATCCATTGGCACCACAAGTGCTCGAAAAAACTTCTTTTTTCAGAACTTCGTACACAGAGGCCGTTGATCGCCCGGTCCCGATTCTAACACTTATTTCAGACGCCGTGGTCCTTTGGGGCAGCATGACGCTAAATAGCCAGAAGGAGGATGATACGGGAATCATAGAGGAAACTTCAATGAATGTACCTCACCACGTGCTAAGTGAGGTCCCTGGGATTTTGTCCTTATTTTGCATTGTTTTCCATGCCTAGTTAAGGGACACCTCATAAGCTATACATACTCAATGCTACAGCTGAAACAGAGCCGCGAGATGGTTGAAATTGCCCAGTCTATGCCATTTCTCTTTACTCTTTTTTGGAATTCTCAGTAATGCTCAGCAAAAATGTACCTCAACTGCGTGGTCCATGCACGGTATCCTACATCTTGCATCGAAGTTTCCACAGAGCTCACCATTTCCCGAACAACCTCCCTTGTCAGCGTGCTCGTAAAACAATGATAATGCTCTTGCACATGCTAGACACTCGCATTACCGCAGTGGTCCGCAACAGCGGTTCACACTATTCGTTATCATTCTTGAAGCGTTAAGACTAGCACACAAATGTTCTTTAGCATGTTATTTATATTCCGCAAAAAGAGGAGAAATATCGGAAAACACACATGGTATACCAATAATGAAATTCCACTAACCGGTTTTTTGTCGCCAGAAAGGTCGACATCACAGTTGATCGCAAGTGGTTTTCGCATTTTAGAGAGACAGAATATCGAAAACAGAAGCAAATTAATCACGTTTGAACCAGCTTTATGCCACTTAAAGCGAAGGTATCACAATTGCGAGGTCAACTACAAAGATTTTTCGAGAGTCAGAATTTCTAGTTTGAGAAAATCTCGCAATAGATTTGATTTCCGGCGAAGGAGGTGTAGAGGGAAGTGGCGGCACCAACTACGCGGACGGTCTGGGATCGAGTCTCGCATCGAACTCTTGCTAATTGATCCCTTCGTACCTCCAGGTCGACTAATTGATACCAGGTTTATTGGGAAGAGTATTTTGTAAATTGTAATTTACGCTTGATTATTTGAATTGTACCGCGATGAAGTGGGGAGGCAAACAATGAAGAACCCATCACGATATCTTATCAACTCTATAATGTTGGCAAAACCGCGACGCCTTCGCATATTGACAAGTGACGAAACCACAGTTTCTCTTAGATGAAATCACTGGAACGAAGGAAATATTTCATAATCTCTTCAGTGTTACTGCATTCTAGTACAGTTCGCAATAATTGTAACGTTTTTCGAACTAGGAGTTTATAATAAGCACTCGATAAGATACTTGCACAACAAATATATTTCCATAGGCCGCAATGACCTACACGCGACCTACAATGTAATGATGTAAGTAGTGAGAAGTGTGCATTGTTTGTCAAGGACTCTCATTTCAACTATCTTGCTCACAAGCTGGCGAACTCGCCTGTGATATTGTTTCACTTACTTGATTGCGCCCTGACTTCTAGCATTTGCTTGTTTTCGCAACCATATTGAAAAATTCGAAGGAGCCTATTGATGTATGAGGAGTGATTTGGCATAGTTGTGAAGTATTTTATAACTTTCGAGCCACTGTTCCAAAGAACTTTTTTTTTAAACCTAGTTAGTAGACCTGGTGTCAAATCAACCAGAACCGTATTCAAATTATTTACAATTAACGAGAGTAGACTGCGCATTACAATCTATTAAATCATCCCATATAAAAATGTGGTAAGTTTTATTCATATAAAACGAAAGCGAAAACAGATAAAAACTAATATTTTGGCTTTGAAGACACATGGTACGCTCCACACTCATTGAGGGTGTATGTGACCTATCACCCTCCCCAGCTCTGTCGATGTCGTCGTTGTTTAACACCGCCCTGAAGCGCACGGGGTCAAAGTACAGGGCCGTGGGAATGTCTAATTCGTCCATGCTCCGCCCAAAGTGCAACTTGCGGCGCAGACTCCCTTTATGCTAACAGCCGTCCGCGCGGCGCGTGTCGCGCGCAGCTCTCTTGGCTTTTTGCCAAGTCCTGTAATTGCGCTCTGGAATACAAGTAAAACGCAATTTCCTGATGCGATAACATTTTAGGTGTTGCAAAATAAGAACCAAAGATGATGACGAAGGGTAGAATTCAAGAGCAATTGTGCTGCTTCTGCAGCATCATTCAGAGGCCGCGCATTCCCACAGAACATGAAAATAAAAACGGCTTAAGCTCCCACTCTTTAGTTGAATAAGAGCAAAACGCGATTTCCTGATGGGAACAACATTTGAGGTGTTGCTCATGCTGCAAAGTCCGAATAGAAGGTGATGAAGATGACAAAGGCTAGAAATGAAGAACAACGAATGTAGATGTAAATAAAACAAAATGAAAAAACTAAGGAAACGCAAACCTGTTAAAATCGCTGAAAAGTTCAAGGAAACGCAAACCGATTAAAATCGCGTGTAAATTTCTGCGAGCCGGCGCGAATTCGGCTCCAAAGCCATAGAAATACTGAAAACAACGAGTGGGAGCTTGGGCCGTTTTTATGTCTTCATGTTTTGTGGGAATGCGCGCCCTCTGAGAGATATTGCAGAAGCAGCACAGTTGCTCTTTGAGTTCTGGCCCTC